ATATACATATACATACATACATATATAATACATAATATTTAATATATATAAATAATACATATTTAATATATTATTATTTCATATTACATAATACTGTTAATATACTTACCCCAGAGATATATCACTAGTGACTGGCCTACAATTACATTTCTTGCCACTCATAACCACACTCTGGACAATTCTGTTCAGCTACTATTCAATCCAGTTTGCTGTTCGTCCAGCTCATACTTCATGTTCACTATGAGAATCTTAGAGGAGTCAGTGCCAAAATCCTTCCTGAAGTGTGGGTGGACAACAATCACTGTTCTCATCTACAAAGCCATTCATTCATAGGAGTTTATCAAGTTGGCCAAGCACATCTTCCCCTTGGTGAAACCGTGTTGACTGCTCTGGACAACTGTCTGATCCTTCATGTGCCTGAAAACAGTTTCCATGTTTAACTGCTCCATCACTTTCCAAGGATTGAAGGGTGGCTTACTGGCCTGGGTCCTTCTTCCTGACCTTTTTGTGCATGTCCAGTTTGCCTAAATATTGTCTAACCTGATCCTCGTCTGATGCTTTGTCTTCTCTGACACAGAGATTCCCCTGGTTTCAGGGACCTGGAATTTCTGAAGGCCAGTCTTGCTAGTAAAGACTGAGTTGAACAGGGGATGGGATTCTTGCAGCCTTTTCCACGTCCTGTGTAAAGAGGTCTCCCATCTCATTCAGCAATGAAGGCACCCACATCTTCCCTCATTTTCTTTTTGTTACCTAGGTACATATAGAATACCTTCTTTGTCTTTGACATTCCTAGAAGATTAAATTCCAATTGGGCTTTATCTTTCCTAACTTCACCCCTGGGTGCTCGGATGATGTACCTCTATTCCTCTCAGGTTACCTGTCCTTGCTTCATCTCCTTGTATGCTTCCTTTTAGTCTCTGAGATCGTTTGGGAGCTCACTGTTCATTCATGCAGAAATTCTGCCTGCCTTCCTCCTCTTTGGGATAGATTGCTCCTGAGCTTGGAGGAGGTGATGCTTGAATATTAACCAGCTTTCTTGGACCACTCTTTCCTCTAGGGCTTTATTCCATGGGACTCTGCCCTTTGGAAAGGCCAGAATCTGCTGTCCTGACGTACAGGGTTGTGAACCTGCTTTTTACTCTCCTACCTCCTTCCAGGACCCCAAACTCCACCATCTCACTGTCACTGCTGCCTTTGAGCCTCACATCCCCAGTGTGCCCCTCCTTGCTGGTGAGCAGGAGGTGCATGAGCACCTCTCCTCTGCTCCTCTGTCACTTGGATGAAGAAGCTGATGTACCTCAAGGACCTCCAGGACTGTCTGTCCTACTGTGCTGTCCCTCCTGCATATGCTGGGGTGGTTGAAGTTCCCCATGAGGACCTTCACAGCTCAGACAGAAGCAAAAGCTGTCAAGAGGTGCATGGCAAGATGCAAAAACATTTTCACAATGCTGTAGAAATTCACATGCTAACATATTTTTCACTGAAATTTGACATAAGTGCCAGAGGTACAGGAGTAAGCTCATGGATGCAAAGGGGTTTAGGACCACTGTGAAAAACATCCCAAATATTGTGCTCCCTCACAGTGGCATACTATTTGTTCAATGCACTTTTCTCTATACCCTTTCTATTATTATTTTTATAAAGACCAAAATGTTTAAAGGAAACATTCTTAAATATGACCAGCAGAATCCATTATTTCTAGCCATAAACTGTACTATCAGTCCCAGTCTAATCATCCAGGAGAGTTATTACGTGGCCAAACAGTGCATCCATTTGTGAGGTGCCTGGCACAGCCCATTAGGTGTGTGAGAGGTGGAGAGAGAGGGAGATGCTGTGTAATACCAGGAATGAGTATTTACTCTGCCCTGCTGGTCAGACAGAAAGTGCATGATCACAGAACACATGCACCACATCCCCCTGTGTGTGGTAGGGTGTTTTTTCTTGATGCATTTGTCTCTAATGATACAGCTGTCAACTGCAGCTATCACGCCAGAGGACCTGCACCTTCTTTGGCTCAGCTCCTGGTCCCAAATAAACATATTCATCCAGCCATTCAAATTGTTTTTCACACTAATGGAAAGTAAAGTTATGAGTGCCTTCATGAAAGCATAAATGTTAAATGACTGTATTCAGCATAAATTTGCTCTTCATTGCCTTTTTCAGCTCTACCTTGAACTGAAGTCTTGCTGGGGAAAAGTTATGCTTCTTTTTACTTTTTGAAGTATTCTTAACTCCTTTTCCTAAAGAAGACATGAAAGATGCTGCATTAAAAAAAGAGGCTTCCACACAAATTTGTTATTAATGTCATCAAAATTCATCAAAAAATGTTAAGAAATATGGTAGAAGCAGTGCAATAACAACAGGCCTAATCCCCAACAATGCAAATTTGCCAAGCACTACTGAAGTCAATGAAGCCATACCAGTTTAAGCCAATTGCACATCTTCTCAACATATTATACCACTACTCATTTTGATAAATCTTCATATATATATTTTTTTTTTTATTCAGCTACAGTAAGGAAATTTTTTGAGTTACAGTAAGGAATTTTTTTTAGCCAGACCTCTTTTAAAGTTTGAAGATGAGATTTTAAAATACACTACAAGAGTCAAGGGCACTGCAGAAGTGTGGCTGTCATTCTGATGGCTAATTGGACTGAGACAGCTCCTAAACACCCAGGCTCCTGTTGCCTTGAGCTCTGGTCTAACACATTTACATTTATGCTTTCACTTCAAGTTAAAGAGGTTCAATTCTCTGTTGTTTGTTTCTCAATAATATTGAGAATATGCACACACTTAATTTTAAGCATGTTGACTTTATTTAAAGTTCTCAGTACGGTGCCTAAAGCTAAGAAGCCATCTATGTGCTGCCCTCAGTATGAATACTTTTTGCATTGAGACCTCCAAAAAGTCAAAATAAACCCAATGCATATAGATGGAGACTGAAGCAGAAAAAAGGATGGATAAGTAGTAGCAAATTGGCCATGACTCACAGGTGATTAAGGGAGTTAAACATTCAGATAAATAAATCAGAATTATCTAAATCTTTAGTTTGCATTGATATGGTGACGCATTGATGTGGTGAGATGTGATGACTTTTCTTGACAGCTGGAACAGTGGTTAGCAGACTGCAGAGCTCATCACAGGGTTTAGAAAAGCCTTCAGAGGTCTTTCAAACCAATATTGCCTAATGTACCAAATGAAGCCATTACATGTCAGAATGTGATTCAGGGAACAGTAAAGGGGAAAAAACAGGTATGTGAGAAGAAGTCATAAACAAAGAGGCCATGCCCAAAGTGCATCATCTCAACCAGCTTCTGCAATGACCTCTTTAACACCTCTTCTCAACTTTCCAGATCATCACTGCATCTGGAGGCTAAAGCATCCACGCCCTACTGGGCATGGAAAAGAGATTATCAGCTGAGCAGTATTTCAGTTATATTACTGTCTTCTGTTCTCTTGGAATTCCTTGTCCATCCGACATGATAATAGTAGCTCCAGTGCTCAGATATGGCTGCTTGAGAGCAGGGTGGGGGTTCTCAGCAATGCTGCACAGACAGAAGAAAGGTTTATCTGAACTCAGCAGGAAAACACATGGACACTAGTTACGAGGTGAATGAACATGCAGGGACTTGGAGCAAAAAAAGCTCCCAGTTTCTCTCTTTTTTGCCTCAGAATGCCAATTTCCCACAGGTTCTGGGACTGAGTTCTCCACATGCTCTGAAGGTGCTTCAGACACAACAGCCTATAGAAAAGCTCCCTAGTCTTTCCAGCTGAATGCATATAACTCTTCTTGCTGTGACTTTCAAGGCTGAATTGTCAACAGAAAGGTCTCTCAGGAATCCAGATAAGGAGTCTCATGCTTAGGAAGGTTTATGAAAACAAGACTAATTGTAATTTTCCCCTGCTGAGTAGCCTGTGAGGTCCCACAAAGTCCTTGCAGCTGCAAGGCCTGTAAGTGCTGACAGCTATCTCCTCATAAAAGTGTGATTGCTGACAAAAGGAAATTGCATCATTCAGCCTTTTTCCTTCTTTATCAAAAAAAGGGAACTTCCCCTTTAGTAATATTAATGGCAGGAGGATTAATTGTAGGAAGTTTGGCAATGTTTCTTTAAAAATAGTTCATTTAGCAGAATAATGAAGAGGAGTTGAACACTGACTCAGTTTGCCAAGCTGACCTTGTATTCCTGATTCAGATGTGGGCACAGGGAGGACCAGGCTTTGTTCAGCCCTCCAGAGCACCAAATAAAGTAACAAAATTGTGAAGTGAACAAACTAAAGAAGAGCTACTGGAAAGCCTTGGATGTGCTAGTGTTGTAAATCTTTTCCTGATAAAGTGTGAAGCCCTCTCCAATCTCCTTCCAGTGATGGATGCTTGGGCTGCTCAGGCTTTTAAGAGCATTGCTGGATTGGCTTTGGCATATGGGAAAAAGTAGTTATTGTAAGTGAACACTGAAAACATCTCTTGAATTCTTCATGCTTAAATAGCTGTCAGAAAGCCACATTCAGGAATGGCTACTACACAAATATAAGCTGATCTCAGTGGCTGCTGTGGGGAAAGAAATTATATTTGCTGTGGTAGGAAATATAAGGTGTTTTTCATGATCACTTAACTCTTGAGTCAAGGAGATTTATGATCAATAACTGAGGTAGAGGGTGTTTGTTAAAGCAGTAAATAAAATGTGGGTCCATTCATAAGGATCAAGGGAATATGATTCACTGATGCCTACAATGTTTAGGGATAAAAATTATTTTTTAGATACCCTGGTCTTTTTTTTTTCATATTGCAACAGAGCTCTCTTCACAGCTTGTCCTGCAGTTTTGGCTTGTTTTTGTTATTTTTTTTAATCCTGCTCCTATTCATCCCTAAAGGATTGCAGAAGAGTGAAAACCTTCCCGGTTGAAAACCTGTACTTGACTTGAGTCTCTGGGCACTGCAGAACCATTTCCTGTGATTGCAGCAGAGAGAGATAAAATTCCACTGTGGTGGGAATAAACCGAAATTAGATCAAAGATTTCCGGATAATTAAGACTTCCAAACCAAAACCTCTTTTCGCTTGACTCCACTATTTTATTTTTTCTTTCCCCAGGCAAACAGGGCAGTGCTTCACACAGGAAGCCACATCTGCCTATCAAAAACAACAACCCAAACTGAAAGCGTGACAGGAGCCGGAGCGCATTTGCATGCGCTGCGATTCCCGGCGCTAACCTGTGCCTCCACCCGCGAGCAGAGGAGAGGGCTCGGGAGCTGCTGCGGGCTGCCCGAACGCCTCCCCGCGCACAATGCACGGCTGGCACAGGTGGATGGAGCTGCCGGGTGCGAGGTGTCAGCTCCTGGCTCTGCTGCCGTGAAGCAGCTCCGTTTTGGCTTAGGAGCCGGACAGAAGCTGGCTAGAAGAGGTGGCAATACAGAGCGAGCCCGGGGGGCTGCCAGGGAGCCTGCTCAGCCCTGATGGAGGACAGGAGCCGCCAGCTCCCGCGCTATCAGAGCCAGGAGAGGCCCGGGGTGGGGCTGGCGCCAGCGGGAAATGTCTCCCTGGCAGCAGGTACGTGTGTGTCCGCGCCCTGCGTGCGCTTCGGGCGGGCTCGGGGCGGGCTGCGGGGCTGCTGCTGCCGCTGCGGGGCCAGCGCTCCGGGGCTGCCGCTGCTGCGGTCGCTGCCCGCCGGCGGGGCCCGGGAGCTGCTCGGCTCCGCTGCGGCCGCGGGGGGAGCCCAGCCCGGCCCGGCGCCGCCGCCCCGCCGCTCCCGCCCCCCGAGCCGGCCGGAGCCGCAGCTCCGCGGGCGGCGGCGGAGCCCGGGCTGCCCGCGCTGCCCGTGCCCCTCGGCGGCGGCGGCGGCGCGGATCGCCCCCGTCCTGCCCCCGCCCAAGCGGAGCCCTCCTCCCTGCCTGCCTGCCGCGCTCCTCCCGCCGCCGCACAGCCCGAGGAGCGGCTTGTTTTCCTGCCCGGATGATGGATTTCTCCGCAAGGTCATCCCTGCCCGCGGCGGCGGCGTGCCCGCGGCTCCCCCGGCACCGCCGCGGAGGTAAGGGGCGGGAGAGCGGAGCGGAGCGGGCTGGCAGGGCACCGACACGGCCCGCACACACCGGAGAGCAGCGGGCTGGGTGTGCGGGCAGGTGCCGGGGCGAGGCGGGCGTGCCTCGCCCTACCAGCTGCAGGTCCGAGCTGTGCCGAGCCGAGCCATGCCCCGCTCCGCGGCAATGGGGCTGCGGTCGCCCCACCGAGCGGGCACCCGCGGGTGGGAGCGGCCGGGCCGGCCCCGAGGGCGCCTCTCGCATCCTCTGCTCGTTTCTACTGGCGCTTGGAAGCGACTTGGGCTCAGGCGTGGTCCGGGAGTGCGGAAAACTTAATCAAAGAAATAAAAAGGTGGCGGGAATATTGCTGAGATGCCCCCGCCGCCGGGACGGGCCGGGGGATGCGCGGCGCGGTCGCCACGGCAACCAGCCCGCGGTGCCGCAGGGGCGCGGAGGATGCCCCCCAGCGCGGATCGGGGCCAAGGGGCGCACCCGGACCGAAGCCGGGCGGTGAGGCTGAGCTCGGTACCCCCGGGTGCTTGTCAGAGGAGCCCGCGGCTCCCAGGTCGTGGTGGTGTGGCGGCTCTCGGCCGAGAGCGGGAGGGTCCGCGGGGGTTGCGGGCTGGGGTGTCACGGTCAGAGAGCATCGCGCCGTGAGGACTGGCCAGGTGATGTCCCTGGCCTGGCTCGGGGCGTTGGGGCTGGGCACGAATCCCTCACGGCCTTTTCTTTCTCTTGCTGTAGTTGGTGGTAAAACTAGTGATGATGTCAGCTCCTGGTCTGTGGCTTTGTGTTGTCTGCATTCAGCTTGTGTTCTGTGCCCCATACAGGCCTTGACTTCATTAATGCTTTAGTCCTTCATCCTTTTTTTGTCAAGGAAGATAATAATGCTAGTGGCGGGTTTTTTATCGTAAGACATTACTATAGTCCCATAGCCTAACCTCTTCCATAATATAAAGCAGAGACTATTCCCCAGTGGTTCCAACGTCTGGCCCACCAGCCTCTTCAAACAGTCTTGATTAAATGACTTCCAACGATGGGAATTTACTACATTCCTGGATAATTGGCTCCAATTTTTAATCGCTTTGTTAAACGTTTGCATCTCTTTTCCCCTTTGAACTTTTCTGACTTCATCTTCCAGCTACTAGATCTTGTAATGTTTTGCCTGTCAGATTAAATAGCTATCTAGTTTCAGATCATCTCTCTCTGCTCAAGTATTTAAGGGCAGTAATTAAATAGCCACTTAGCATTGTCTCTGATGAGATAAATAGACCTGACTCCCTTGGTCTCTCCCTGGAATGCAGATGCTCCCCAGGAGAAATGTCTGGGCTGCTGTTCTGTGAGCCTGCACCAGCATCCTCCGGTGCTGCACAGCAGCAGGGTTCCAGGAAGGCCCTCGTTAATGTCACGTGTGGAGATAATAACCTCGTGCTCAGTATTCCCCTGTCTATTCACCCAGTGGTACAAACTTTTCTTTCCCACGACTACACGGTGGGAACTTCTGTTCCATTAGTTACAGGCAGTGATCTCTGCACTTCTTTGGAAGCCAAGGTTTTCTCAGAAGCTGGTTGTCAGGAGCATTTGAATTAAATATTGCTACATTTATACCTTTGGATTTGCCTATATTAGAGATTTTTCCCTTCTCCGTTCACCTCACTTCTGTGGAGTCTGCAGCTCAGGAATCACAATAGAGCTCTGGTGTCCTCTAGAAGTCAGAAGGGCTTCTTTTCCCAGGATTTCCCTCCTAAAGCTCTGTCTTCTACCCAGCCAACTTCAAATAGTTTAAGGTCTCTTGGAGTAAAAGGTACTAAGAAGTTACACTGAGTAATGTATAAACTGCAAACTGAGAGCGCCCATTACAGTGAATTGCTTTTGTAACTGCTTTTGTTCAGCTGTGCCTCCAAGTGTTGGTGGGAGAGAGAATTGCTTTTCTGTCTTAAAGAGGTGCAAATCCCAACCCTGGCTCTGGTGTCTAGGCTGACATACACAGTGTCATTGTTTTGAGAGTCTTTAACCTGAACGTCGTGAGTCTTACTTGTTCTGAAGTGTGCTTAAGCCGGGACTACAGCGCTCCAGAAAGCACAATATCTGAGAGTATGGGCAAGAGGTTAGGTGGCTTTGACAGAATATTGTCATTTTTTCCAGCAGCACATAGGTAGCATCTTGAATCTCAACAAAATGATGAGATTGAATAGTCTGAAGGCACCTTCTGTGGGAGATGGTACAAAACAAAGTTCTTTGAAATTATTTTTTTTGTTAGGGTTGAGGTTGTTTTTATTTTTGTTTGAGGGTTGTGTGTTTGTAGCCACCTTGACTTGCCCTGTCTTTGAGCTTAATACACAGTGAGGGAGGGAGGGTGGTGTAAGAGGTCTGGAAATTAAAGGTCTTTACATGCAGACCATCCCATGGAGTAAGTGATGTGATGATGCCTGTGAGTAAGGTTTGTTTGCACAAATAATGATAGCAGGTTTCAGCCTTTAGAATGACCTAGTTGTCTTCAAAGTGTTAAAATTAAGAACAGTACATTCTGACTGTGTAACAACTTAAGTGTCAGGACAAAGTGTTAATGAGATTTCATGCAGATTTTTTTATTACAAGTCTCAGAAAATACCTATTCTTAAGATTTCATGAAGTATACACAGTGATACACTCAATATAAATAGTCTGAAAAATCATCACAGAGCTCAGATATCACATCTGATTGAATAGAGCTCCAGAATTCTGCTGAATTTTCTACAGGCTGGTGTAAGCATCTTAAAAATTGTTTCTCAAGTGTTTGTCCAATTCCATATCTCCCCAATATGAAATTCTGAAATGTTGCTACCTGAGAGGTATCTTTCCCTCACCCATTCAAACTCCCCTTCTGTCCCTCAGATTGAGCTAAGATATCTGAGTTTTTTCAACATATGCTTTCCCTTCTCATAGTTGCACCTTTTCTCCAACTCCTTTTGCAATCAAAAGAATATGTGAGTGTTTCCTTGGGGTGGCTGGTCCCAAAAATTACACATTTCTTAATTATGAAGCCCAGCATTAAGAATAGTGGCTGGTAATTAATTCTACAGGCTGCTAATTAATTGTAAACAGACAGAAGATAGTATTTTTGAGGCTTGCTGAAGACTGAGAGCACTAGGTTGGACAGATTTCACTAGCAAGATACTATGGCAGAGGTAAAATTTGTCAGATTTGGGTCCCAAAACTGTTACTGACATGTTATTTTTAATACCATAAACTCCCTCTGTCAGGCTCAGGCAAAGCTAAGGGGAACAACATCCTGCCTGCAGTTTGTGAAATCCTCACTGCTGTGGGAGTACCAGCAATCTGCTCGTAGTCTCACAGCTACAGGCAGAACAAAATTTCCTAACTGAGAATTATGCTCCTAGCAGCACATCACTTCTTAATTTATAACTCCCACACTAAAAGCAGAGTTAGAGTTAGGATACAGGCTGAATCTGCTGAATCTTTGTGGATTTAGGAGCAATCCTGCATTAAGACCTGATGTTACCTAATTTAGGTAAACATCACCTTCCTGAGAGTCACAACAAAAAAAAAATGGATAATTTTACTACGGGAAAACAAGTTCTGGACATATTCTGAATGAAACTAAATTACTGTTCTATAGGAAAAGTTTTTGAAAGTATATGTAAATACAGTCTACATTTGCAAATAGTAAAAATAGAAAAGATATATGTATATCTTATATATATGGACTTTGAACTCAGTAACAGTTCTATAGGAACAAAGACTGGTGCTAATTAAAAATTTAATCACACATGATCAGTTACTTATTAACATCGAGTTATTTGTCTCTTGGGAGTCTGTGGCTAGGAGCTCACATTTGTAGATTGGCAGCAGATCCTAGAGGGTTGAGGTGTCAGCGTGCTGCTGAGTAAATAGGGAAGAAAATGCAGTGCCAACACCTGCAACTCCCTGCAGGCTGTGCAGGGGGAGAAAGGCAAAGAAAAAGGTGGGCACTCGAGTAAGAATGACTGGGAACCAGCATAATAGCATTTTGCACCTATTTGTCCTCTGTCAGCAGTGGACAAGTGCACAAGTGGTGCACTTGATGAGAATAATTAAGTGGAGGGAATAATGCCAACAATGACAAATATTACCATGCATTGTGGTAAAAGAGTGCTATAGGTGTGTTCACAGAGGGTGGATTAAATTCTTTCCCCTCATCTCCCCCATGCCTCTAAATTCTCCCCCATGCCTCTGAATCTGTGATCCTGTGTAAAAAAGCTTGGTGGCAGGTATGGAAGCTATTACCACAGCCCGCTTCAGCCAGACATCCAAGAAGATACAGTATCTATTAAATTATCCAGGAAAAAGTGTTTGTGTCTATGATATCTCCGAGGGTAGTTGTTAGCAACACGTGCTACTTCTACTGATTGTTTTACTGTACTTATTATACATCAGTAGAACGTGGTAGTAACAGCTGAGCTTGCTTATTGCCTCCCTCTGACAGTAGTTCTTGTAGAAGAGTGAGGAGTTAATCACGTGGGACAGAGACAACCCAGTGCTCTATTAAATTGT